AGTATGTGAGAATTATGCTTGACAGACATATGAAATGGGATCTGCACATATAATATGTGTGCAACAAAATTCTAGATATAACTCATTCAAAAATAGTTTATCAGTCATTAGTGCACTCACAATAGATGTGGAACCCATAACACATTAATACAATACATAGAAAAAAGCAGTTTATCCCGCGGTGTGTACGAAAATAAAAGTAAATTATTTTGCTCTCCGACTTTACAATCAACTAGGTATGGTCTGTTCATAGATATAAGAAAGTTACCAATTGCTTTTGAATGGGATTATCCAAGGGTGGTCATTAACATACAATGCAACAAGATTATTGCCTAAAGTTTCGGAATTTAAATTCAGGTAAAATTGTGGTCCGTAATAGAAAATAATTTTATACCTACCTGTGTTTAATATTCTTTGGTTTGGTAAACTACTTAGTTTAAGTTTATTAACAATCATTCTTATTTTGTGTGTAATACAGCGTGTGTTGAATCATGTGCGAATTATGCAAAATATGTGCGAGTATAGTGTATCTCAGGAGATACTCCCGTTCAAATGTAGAAAACGCTATTCTATTGAGACTAAGGAAGTTATAAACAATGTTTATTTGACTCTCATTCAACGTGGTACCAGCAAGCAAGCATCTTTAGAAGAAACGGCCACATTGATGAATATTCCAACATCAACTTCAGCGATGAAGAAAAGAAGCGGTGCTGATATTTTCTCGACTGTTGATGAAAGTGATCAAGATATAATACGGCGTAAAATTTACCAGTTATACGAGGAACAAAACGTGCCTACATTAGATATCTTAATTAGGAGGCTTGAAAAAGATGAAACCGGTGTTAAATGTGGCAGAACTACCTTATGGAAGTGTATTCAACACATACATCAATACACACATCAATCTTTTACAATTCGGAAATGGCGACTGGAAAATCTAGAAAAAATTAGGATTTACAGAGAACAACAAAGGCCAATTATTTACTTGGATGAAACCTGGTTCGACACTCATGATACCCCGGAAAAGGGTCGGGTTGACTCAACTGATAAGTGTAAAACAAACGCGCCATCAAAAAGAGGTAAAAGAATAACTATTTTGCATGCTGGCTCTAAAGATGGTTGAATTCCAAATGAACTTTCTCTGTCTGCGAAAAATATTAAAGATTCTTCTCTGGATTACCATGAAGACACCGCCTCTGATTTATTTCAAAGTTGGTTTAAAGACAAATTAGTTCCAAACATTCCTCCTAATAGCGTAATTGTAATGGACAATGCAAGTTATCACAGTAGACAGTTGACTAAACTACAAACTACATGTATAATAACGACATTTATTTTCACTAAGATTATACCAAAAAGCAATTAATTGAGGTTCTACAAAGCTGGAACCTACAAAAGGAATACGTCTGTGATAATTATGCAAAAAATCTAGGGCATACAGTTTTAAGACTTCCACCTTACCACTGTATATTTAATCAAATTGAACATGTTTGGCACCAACTGAAATCTGCCATTCGTCGTAACAATGTATTTCCCCGTGTTAACTCCAATGTCCTCAAACTTATAGAAACGAAGTTTTTAACATCCCTCCACAACGTTGGGCAAATTCTGTTAAATATATAGAAAAAGCAGAACAATCGTATATCCATATTGCAACTAATATAGAACAAATAATAATCAGAACAGGCGATGATAGCGATAGTGATACTGATGTACTATGTGAATAGTTTTAAGTAATTTAAGTAGGCAATAAAAATAATTTGTAATTCTATTTTAGATTTAAACATAAATACATACATAAATAAATAAATATTGTTTAGTATCTTTCCTAACAAGACCCCAAATAATTAAATTTCATTCTTACAGCTTGTCCGGGTCTTTCCTTAATTCATCTCAGTTAATCACTTTCTTATATCTATGAACAGACTTTACTAGAAAAAATCAGACCTATCACAAAATGCCATAAATACAAATCCCTCTTAAAGGAGTGTATTTTTGAGAGTGACAGGGCTGTGTTTAGTGATCTCGTGGACTTATGCCAAGAAACAGATTTGCGTTAAGAAATTGTAATAACTGACATGGCATGGATTCTTTGTTTTTCCTGGACAGATCTGCGAATGATTTTTTGTGATTTTTTATGTGGATCACGTATTTTAATTAAAAAAAAATAATATTTTGTTAAATTGAATTCATTACATTTGTTAGCATTATAAGAAGGTATTTAAATATATTTGCAATAAACGTATTTATATAGCAAATAAAAATTATACCGAATCCCGAATCACCCTGTATATTCGTACCGCGAACCGTCCTACAGGCAAGCCACCTGGCGGCGATTGGGGGGCGGCACAGCGGTTAATGATTTATTCAAGCCCTTCGACAGCGTGAGGGGAAGCGGGGACGGCGGGAGGATGGTCGCATTCAGATTTTCCGCGATCGTTCGACGCGTCGCGACGAGGCGCAGCCGCGTATCACATTACGTATGCACCAATGCCGTCGCGACGCCCCCACGGCCGACTGATAGGGGTGCGATATATTTTATTTTAAAGCGTGCTGCGATTGGTGCTTTATGCTTTTCATACAGACGGCGGCGGCGGGGGCGGCGCGAAGGAACCCGCGGAAAATGTAAAACAGCGGGGTGGCGGGTTGTGCGCGTCCTTTCCCGCCACGGGGTCCAATCGAGAACGGTTGAAAAATAAAATAAGTATATAAAAAGGACCATCTGAGAGGAAAATAGTGAAAAGAATCGAATAATATATCAATTAAGTGAGTCATATTAATGATAATCATTATAATAACATTTAAAAAATTTGAATTGAATTATTAAATTCTTTTTATTAATCTTCAGTAAAAGCTTCCCCGACGAACGCAATTTTAAAAAATTAAAACCCAAATTTCTGGTAACAAAAATTTTGTTTTTTTTTTTTTTGACAGAAAGTTTTTTACTTATGTTTTTTAATTATATCAATCTTTTAATACCTGTTTATGACCGATATTTTGGTGCATTCCTTAATAATTTTAACGTAAATAATTACATTTTTTTAACGTAATTCCTATAACTGGTTCTCTGAACTAACCAAAGCTGATGATTATTACCCGTAGAAGCATCAAAAGAGAGAATCAATTTAAGGGGACAATAAAGTAGACTCGACCGCGAACCCCTATCAGTTACGGCGGTTAAAACCAAGTAATTGCTTCCGAAATATCCCTATCGCTCATTTACCTGTGTCTAAACGACTTTCAAATATGTTTACCGTTCTAATCTAAATATTTTGAGAAACGGCTTCTACAGGAAGTTCGTCAAGAGAAAGGTATTCATTCATTTCTGTTTTTTGAATGTAAGTCGCTTTATATAAATGAAAAAAAAATCTTGGGGAATACGTCGTCATTTTCATCTTCTTTAGTAAGGGAAATGACGAAAATTTGAGTATTCACCAACATCGCCTCTGCTGTTAACGTTTGTCCATTCGGAATCGCATTAAAACATTGTTTAAACTGATTTTATGCGGTGTATGAGTTGAAAACTTCATATTGGAATATGCAATTACGATCACCTAGCATGAAACATCGGCTTTTATTATATTTTTAACATTTTTTTCTACGCACTGATTCCCAACATTATAAATTGCTTTGTACATTTCAATGATATATACGTTTAAGTCTATCGTTAATTAAAAACCCGAGACATTCTTGCCTTTCGCTAATAATAATGGAAAAAAAGGATTCGGAGCAACGTTTAATTTAGATATATGTCCTTTCTTCTTCTTTCTTGCTTTAGGTCGTATCTTCCAAGGAGATGGCCAGCCTAATATCGCGAAACCTCAGTACAATTACGTAACTTTTGGTACCTCACCATAATCTCGAGGAAACGTAAAACAAAATCTAGCAATAAGTATGACTTAATATTTCTATGGTGAATGGAAAACGCAATTTTAAACCTTAAATATTTTTCGTGTCTAAAATACAATTTTTCTATTTATACGACGTCTGGTGAGTGGTGCCTCAACCTGAAATAGGTAGTAGAGGTCATTTCTGACCAAAACCTCGCAATTCCGTGTAAACAAATTTTTTGGCATTTTACGTAAGCACCTGAAAAAATATTATTTCGTAGTGCCAATATATATATTTCACCACACTCCTGCCTTTATTCTTTGTTATCATTATTTATCTGTTTGTCTTCTTTCCTGCATTGATCGTCCACCCGATATTCGAAGGAGCATAACAGATTCGAGTTGATTAGTAACGATTGCGAGGAAACATGAAATGGTGAGTAAAAAGGGTATCCAAATCACTATTTTTTGAAGATTTGAACAGTGAAAACAGAGCGGAGGATAATCATAAAAAAGCAATAAGAAATAAAATTACACCAAAACTATAGAAAATGGGCGATATATGTGAAAGAAACTTTTTGATCAGAAATTATCTCCATACCTATCGCCTTATGGAGTTTGAAGGTTGACTCATTACCAATATCATCGGTCCTTTGATAATTTTTATGGTCTCGTCCATTTTCATATCTGACTATGATGTGTTCTTATACTAAATACCTTCAACCTTATCGCAGAAAGCCGCCACAATGGCGGTTCCGCGTATCGACATTTGCCTTCGGCAGAAACTGCCGCCACCACCGCCTCTCCTTTAAATAATAAATCGGGCGCATTTTTCATCGTTTTCCCCCACCCCGCGCGCGGGCGCGGTAAAAAAAAAATAAAAAAAAAAAACAACGCTGGACCGAAAGAGAGAGAGACGAAGAAAAAGGAATAATCCTTTTTGCCTCTATACATATATTCACATAAATACATATATAAGATGAGGAATAAATAAATAATCCATACAATTTATGTACTATTGTATATCGGAATGGGACGCGAGGCGATTGGTCGCCGCCTCGACCCCACCACCGACGCGGAGCAGGACTACGGCCTCCCCCCACCGCCGTTTTCAGCATCACTTCGATGCAAAAACTGAACGCCCGTGTTATACGTCTATCGACGGTTACGGCGGCCACATCGACGCCGCTGCGTTCGTGTGCGTGTGCATGACTCAAATGACATTTTAAACCCCATCCGCGCGGTGGTGTTGGTGACCCCCACCCCCCTATTCCTCTTGCATCACACATATCAGTCGTGGCCCGTGCCTCGTTTGGTGATCGTAATGGTGACGCGTCGTGTGACCGACCGTCGGTGCTGATGAAGATCGCGGCCGATCCGAAACGCGACGGTGACCTGGACACCACGCCGAGGAAAAAACCGTGCAGCAACAACAACAACAACACGATCGATTTTGGACAGACGTTCTGGCACAATCAGCGCGATAACAGTATGCCGATGCTGCTGCATCAGCCCCCGGGTCATATGCTCCTCGCGAGCCACGAGACCGATCAACCATTAGACTTCACCATGTCCAAGTTCAAGACCAAGACGGTCGCGTCTCAAATCAAACAGTTCAACAATAGCGTGCATCACATGATGCTCATCCAGAACAACGGACTGTATTTCGATCGAAGTAATAATAATAAAAGTTTCACCCGAGGGAGTTCGCCAGCGTCGAGCAGCAGCGACGAAGAAGGTGTAGGACCGCCGATAGGGTCACCCAGGTCCATGCCTCCTAGTCCTGCGTCTCATCCGTTTAAGGGCGACGGTAAGTGTTGTTGGTAGTTACCAAGTGTATAAGTTTTCCTCGAATTTTGAATCTGAGAAAGGGAGTTGCATTTAGATCGAAATCAGGATGCTGTTGGTTCCAGCTGAGTTCCCGTCGGCAAGGGAGGGCTTGGTTTAAAGAATTGCATTTTTTTTTATTATGCTATTATTATACTCGTGTCAATATGGTAGGCATTCAAAGAATCACTAGCGAAGTAACTAAATGTAATTGTAATACAGAACTATAATCTTCTCAGACTCAATGTACAAACTTGTTGAAGATCTGATACCCTCGTGTTGTAAGGGAAGGACCTGGTGCGTTTGCCAGGATCTGCATCAACCTGTAGTTATCTAAATGTCATTGGGAGTCATTGGATTTTCATCTTAAAAAGCAGGAATTTTCAATAATTTTGGAAATATAAAATTCGTTTCTCGTCCTTTTCCTCACGTCGTATGTTACTTGTCGAAGCCAAGTATCACCAGTAAGTCAGGAAAAACCTATAAATGTTAATTTTTCTTTATGGGTTCTAATATAAATTTGATCTTTCCATGCAGAGACCTCGTGTGTCATTTATCATTAGATTCCGGCATTGAGGGAAAGAGACAAGAGTTCCATATTTTGTAAATACATTTTTAGTTTGACGTTTTTTGCCAAGATAACTGATTCAAGATTGGTGATTCAAGTATTAAGTGATTCTGGTCAATCTGTATTTTATGTTTCTAATATTATCTCTATATTAAAATAATTTCGTTTTTAGATGTCGTATTTTTTTGTTGTATACCTTGACCAAAAATAAAACGTATTTTAACCCAGGCACATGTCATTGAATACGGCTAAATGAACACTATCTGTAGAAAAATCGACCAAATCATTAAATGTTCTAACTCTAAGAGCAAAGCAAAGATTCATTTTCTTGATATACGATAAAAACAATATTTATTAGTTCAAATGAAAATAATCGTCATTTCTTTGGTCCAAGAATCGCCCCTGACTCATGCTTTTGATAGAAATAATAGACATTTTTCAAAAAATATTTGCTTAGGCTTAAGATTTTGAAGTTGAAACTTCATATAAAGACCCGATTAGGATAAATAATTGAACTCAAGTATTTCGGGTTTTTCCATCTAACTTAAATTGCACTTAAAATAAAATCTGATTTTTCAAGCTTACAAAATGTAACTTGTATTTTTTAGTACAACTCTTCGGCAATTTAAATCGTTGATTCACTTGGTGAAATGAAGGTACTAAAGGAAACAAAGTTCACATATTCAATAGAATACAAGAAGGTAGATCGAATTGTTATGCACTGAAAATATATTTTACGCTAATAAGCCGAAGATGACCCATACAAATTTGGTAACTCTCCATGTCTTGGGATAACTAACACGCCGTACATATTTATTTCTATATAATAGTTGTTTACGACGCTCTAAACCTAATGAACCTCAACTCTCAACACTTTGAGCACTTGTTTATGTAAGGTTGCGGAAAACTCAAAGCTCATCAAGGCAACGCAATGAAGTGTCTCTTGTGAATTGAGACGGCCGTCAATGGTAAACGAGATGCCAGCTCTAAGGTGTTTAAAAAAGGGCTGTTAAGTTAGCCACGCGTGTATATACGGCCGAAGTTAAACGGCTTATTAGCAAAACAAGCAATTTTTGAATGCAAATGCGCTACGCAGTGCCGACAACGACTTGGGCGCGTTAACACCCGTGGATGACGCCCGTATCTTCCGCGCGGGCATGCAAATATAGCCGACGTCCATAATGGAAAGGTAATAATAGCCATTATCGTCACTCACCGAAAAACTAATAACGAAGCATTAATTCATCCAATTTATTTCATTATCCCGTAATTCATTGCCCGCCATATGACTCGGCGCTTTTTGGTGTGCGATATATGGGCAGGTACGGGACCCGTCGTCTTCCCATGAGAGAGAGAGAGAGAGAGGTTTCGGTGGTATACAAAGTCCTACGACGTTTTCGGTGATGTTCTTAGAATTTCCAATACCTTGAATTTAAATAAAACAATTTTCATTCTGTTTTCTTAGTACTTACATTTTTAAAATGGCGCTTCTAAGTAAATTTTTCGCAGTTATATATAGATGCACAACTCGGACTGTTATATCGCTCGCTGTCCTTTTGCAGTTATGAGAAATTTAGGTTCTTTTCCTTATTCGTCTATTTTAATTTAAACAAATACATTTTGGTGCAAATAGCAGGACTCCTAACAAGTCTTATCCGCATAATGGATAGTTTTAACAAGCCTGCGGTCTGTGGGCCTTAACCATTAGCGTAAAGTTGGTTTCAGCATGTCCATGAAAAACAAAATCATTAATGAACCTTGGTGGAGAAAATCACCCGTTTAGCAGCTAAAGCAGCTAAACGGGTGATTTAAAAAGTTTACCGAACGTGTTGCATACTATACTTTTTCTACGACCGTTGGTTTTTGGGTGCATTTCTGCAAAACAACGCGAATAACAAAAAAAAATTCAAGGCGTGGGAAATATCTCCGAAAACATCCGATTACCCCCAAATCCGTGCTGTAATATTCCGGAAATGTCCGAAGTAGCTCGGATCCGTGAGACGAGAGACTCATGCGGTAAAGTGACGCTTCCCGCACGCTAGATCGGCGTATAATTAGGTATTTTACAGAAGGGAGTACAAAAAAGCTTTTTCAATGTCTCTCTTGCAAAATTTTCAAAACTTCAAAGGAACAGTAGACACAAATAAAGTTTTTAATGTTCGAAGAGCCTTAATATTTTTAAAAAATTTCGTTTGTAAATAAATTTCCCTCCAACATAGTAGGTTGCGTTGATAATTACACAAGAACAATTAGCGATTTTTTTTTCACTTGTAGGAGCATTTTCTAATGCTGAATGCTTTAGGGATTTGTTTGCTCAGCTGATTGTCCTGAAATACTGAAAATTGGGCCACTTCTCGGTGGCTAAAGTCAGCATCAAAATGGCGCGTAGCAAAACGGCGAGTACATACATCATTCTAGTGGAGAAAAGCTGAATGCAAAAATCCTTGTTAAAAATGGAGGCATGATAATCCTAGTCTCACGATACAAGAAACGGTTGAAAGATGTTGCTGAATGACTGTAATTAGAAACGCCACCCTATTTAAATATTGCAAAAAAGTAGCAGGTGGCAAAAAAAAAATACAGGAAGAAAGGGACTATAACAATATAATATTGTCTATTGAATCTTCAATTTTTTCATCTAAATACTCACTTTTTAATTTCAAATTCTTAATGTTTTTCTTGTAAACATTCGTCGTCTCAGACTAGGGCGCCAAAGTTGTGTTAGCGCACCTTTTGACGCAAAAATAACCGTAGCTAATTAGATATACGATACGAGCAGGTGAATTTTTTTCCGCTGTGCGGTTTTGTCAGAGGTGCATTTGAATTTAAGAAGGACCTACTGTTTTCTTGGAATCGATTATTTTGACCCGCCGTTGGTACACGCGTGTCGTTTGTATACTGAGCTCGCGTGTTTTACAAGTTCAGAGTACTTGTTTCAGTTTTAGGCATCTGAAAATTCGCTCTTTTAGTATTTTGTTTCTCGCAGAACCAATATATCAATTAATCACGCATTCTGTTTAATTTTTTTTTTAATAAAATTTGAGTATTGATTAAGTAAATAAATATTTCTCGAATACAAATGCTAGGTCAAAAATTCGCCATTTTTTGTTATAAACGTCCCTTTTTTTCAACTTTGAATTTGAATTTTGAATTTGAATGATGCACAGTTAATTATAAAAAGGTTAAAAAAAAACATGGAAAAAGATCATTTATGATAATAATATAAACAAATTTCTTCGAATACTTGGTTGGAATGAAATAAAAATTGGTGCAGAAAATTACGAATAAACCATGTAATTTATACGAATAACAAAATGCTGTTTCAGAAGTTTTAAACGCACTTTAAAAGACACAAACCTATAGGGATACTATTTTTAAGTATTTTACTTATTATTTAATATATCGGAAAGATACTCAAACTGGGTAATTGTAGTAATACAAACTTCGTAGACGTAACAATAACATATTGTTTTGCTGGCGGCTTCAAAATTCAATTCTAATTTTTATACAATGCGGTTCATCTGTTATATTTTATTTAGGAAAAATCTCCGCAAAGATATGAGTTAAATTTTTATTCAATATATTAAACAACTTAAATTTTTAATACTAAAGTACAAATAAAGTAACATTCCACAACATTAATCATCATAATCATTTTGCACACATATGCCCATTACTGGAAAAGTGGTATCTCCTTGATAATGTTAATATGCAATAAATAATTGAAATCAAAATAATTTAGTTCCCCCTCGGCCGCGTTAATTATTATTAGCTAATTATTCACGCGCATGGGTGGCAAAAAAAGAGATGAAATTCAACCCAGTTCGGTGGCGCTGAAAAAATACTTGCCGCGTTTCAACGCTAACGATCAATTAATAACCCATAAATCGCAGATAACATTTTGTTTATCGTGAACCACCCAACAGGTTGACATTTGATTGTTGTTAGTAAACAGTGTCCTTGGGCGCGACTTCGACGACATAATTGAGCGGAACGGGGCAGACAGGGGAGTACGAGCGAGGGTCGCCAATAAAGTTTTCATTATTTTCCCTCTAATTTTCGACATTTTGACCAAAAATCGGGTGTTTCTAAAACATAGGGAGAAAATTCTATCCCAAATCTACTTGTATCGGAAAGTGTATGATTTAGAAGATGCAGAATGTGAATGTGATGCAGAATGTGAAAAATTGGGCAAAAATTTGAACAGCGCCGCGTATGGTATTTTGCACTCATTTAAAACGAAATAACCTATTTCAAACACACTGTATTTAACTGTTAGATAAAAATTTCTTATTCTCAACAGTGTTTCTTTGAAATTCGCAAATAAATATTGAAATACTCACTGAAAATCGTTATTACTACTGTAATCTACTCTTACTTTTACTTTTATTTGGCAATAGTATATTATGCAACAA